TCCCTAAGTCTCCCGCTGTCAGACGCCTGTCACTGTAACTCATACATGGATGCTCGACCATGAGGTGGTCAAGGACAGTCGGAGAATAAAGCCTTAATCAAACAGTTGTTACACTCAAACTCCACTTTTATGGAGTGTTTTTTGTTTTAACTTCATCCTTTATTATGTTGCATCTAAGGTAGACATGTGTAGTTTGTTTGTCAGTTAGAGGAATAGCTCAAGTTATTTTTAAATGGGGTTGCATGAAGTCTTTTTGCATATTGGCTGTCCAGAAAGATCTCATCAGAAAGCAAACTTACTGTCTATGCCATTCAAAAAATGTTGCTCCATGCAAGAGCAAATCCTGCAAATAAATGTTTTTTTTTTCACTGTCACTTTTGTATCAAATGGGTATTTAAACTTGAGAGTAGAGCCTGACCGATATGGAAATTTTGGCTATCGCCGATACTGATATTGGGAACCGAATGCTGAAGCAGATAACTGATATAATGGCTGAAAATTTTTGAGCTTTGTCCAGCCCCAAGAATGTAAGTAAACAACTACTTTTAAATCTGTTTTAACACTTGAAGTCTTGCAACAGTCTTCCTAACGTGCACTTATATTTTCTATTCACCATAAAGTTATTAAGTGTGTTAAAAAGATATAAATTAAACAAAGAAACACCCTTCCCTTTTCATTGTTTAAACAGTCAGTCACATATAGTGAGGCCTAATTAGTATTGACTGCAGCAGCATTATTTTTCTTTGCAGAGAAGTAAAGATTTCAGACAAACGATGCATTTCGTCGAGGACAACAAAGATAACATTACTAACATTGATATACTGTATTTTACCTAAACATTAGATTTATTGTTCTGGATAAAGTGTTGCAAGACAATAGCCTATGCTAGGTTATCTAAACTTTAGCTTGCTAACTTGAGAGGCACATAGCTAATGACAAGTGAGTTTGAGGATTGAAGAGAATTTATTATTTTTGATGTTTTATTGTACAGATCAGTTAAAAATAAACTTACCATGCTCTGTTCAGCAAAATATGATACACAGTATTGCTCGCTGCTTCAGCTGCACTGAAAGTGAAAGTTAAAGTTAAAATGAATGGCCATGACTTGAAAGTTGTCTGCACGAACCGTCTGCTGGATACCTTGTACAATTATTCCATTTGCAAGTAAGGACACGGCTCATTCCCAGTGTTTATATCAATGCGTAATGGGGCAATTTTCACCTATACGTATACACCTATAGGTCACAAAACGCCTATATCGCCTAAAATTTCGGCCCTACTGATATATCAGTTGGACTCTACTTGAGAGGTGGTCCTGCAAAAACACAGTTCATGGTGCATTGAATCACATTTTGCTCTAAAAAGGGACTGTGCTATATATACAGTCTACCTAATTAGCTGATATAAATATAATGTGAAATAGAAATTCAAAAGTGTTCACTTGAAGAGCTATCACATTTGTGTGGTTTTATTTGTTATAAAAAACAGAGGTTTGCTCTTAAATGAGGCCTTTTCTAAATAATAGCTAACTTTATTCATTCATGAGATTTTCTTTTTGATTCACTCCTTTTTTGATACAGCCAGTCTTACTTTAGCATTGTTTTAAATGTAAAATAACTCATTATGGCTAAACTTGTACAAAAGTTAGTATTTGTGCATACAGCAGCAAGTGGAGAATCACTTAAGTCAACAAATCAACACATGAAATGTATTTAAGGTGGAATTTTTTTTTTTTGTAAGGGTTTATGACCAGCACAGTGGTGAAGTTGGTAGAGCTGCTGCCTCTCAGCGAGCAGGTTACCCTGGTTCAAATACCGGTCCAGGGGGCTTTCTGGGTGGAGTTTGCATGTTCTCTCTGTGCATGCGTGGGTTTTCTCTGGGTACTCCAGTTTTCTCCCACAGACCAAAAACATGCATGTTAGGCTGATAGGTAACTCTAAATTGTCCCAAGGTGTGAGTGAGAGAGTGAATGGTTGTTTGTCGCTTTTGCCTCTATCTGTTGCTGTGATGGACTTGGGACCTGTCCAGGGTGTCCCCCGCCTCTCGCACATTGATGGCTGGACATGGGCACCGGTGATGCCTGCGACCCGTAAAGGAAGAAGCGGGTAAAGATAATGGATGGATGGATGGATGGATGGATGGAGGGAGGGAGGGTAATGTCCTGTTTATTTACTTGATAGCAGCAAGACATAAAATGTTCACTGGTACCATCCTGTTGGGACATCGTACCTGTTTAAGCTTCAATTTTCAGGTTCCTGTACAAGTTCAATATTTCCCTACAGGTCAGTGCTCTTCACCTGCCTTATTTTGGCTGCACAATGGCTCAGTGGTTGCCACACAGCAAGAAGGTCCTGGGTTCAATCCTCAGATTGGACCTGGGCTCTTTTTGTGTGGAGTTTGCATGTTCTCCTCATGTTTGCATGAGTTTCCTCTGTGTACTCCAGTTTCCTCCCACCAAGTTTGAGAGAGGAGTAAAGGAGGCCATCTTTGTGAAAAGAAACCGTCCATCATTAAACAGGGGTGGAGGCCTCCAGGTTCAACTGTCCCCCTCTTACAATGCTGTGATTGCTAGTATCACTCAGCCCTCTGTGAATAGTTAACAGCCATCAGGGTGCTAGTGATCCATTGTTGGGCTGATGGTCCTTCTTGAGCATGTGATCAGCTGGTTTTGGTTGTCGGCAGCAAAATTGGTTGATCCACTCTGAGAAGGTGCTATTTAAGAGACTGAGTTGAATACAGCTCCTCAGACTGAGGAAGTCTCTCGGATGAGAGACGAAACGTTTCTAGATTTTTTTGCTTTGTTTTGTTTTTTGTTTTTTTGAATGTCCAGAAGACCAGATTGAACTTTTTTGGATTTTTCTACCTGGATTATTGAGCATGCATCAGGATATTTCCTCCCACCGTTCAAAAACATGCATGTTAGACTGCCTTCACGTCCAGGCCTCCCTTGCAAAAGAGATCTGTGATCTCAGTGGGATTTGCCTGGTTAAATAAAGGTTAATAATAATAATAATAATAATAGTAATTCACACAGCCTGGTCAGGTAAATTGTAATATGTCTATATCTGCAAACTTGCATTAGTTAACATCCTCGCCTTAATAATGAGGCAGTTGTCATTTTTAAATTGTATTGTTTTAAGCTTAAAGATGGACTTAGAACAAAAACAGAGCTAATCTGTTGTACTTTTGAAAAGCTTGTTTCCAGGCACATAGTGCATAAGATCGAAGTGGTTTTTTTTTTTGTCTTTCAGAAATGACACTATTCATTTGAGTCAGTATAAATGCCCTTTGTTTCAAAAATTAAAGATTCACTTTGTTTTTAATGTGTTACCTGTAGCCCGTTGGTTAAAGCTTTATGGTTTGTACTTAAGTATGAATTTCTTGTAAGTTAAGTCTCGTCATTTTGTGCAGTTTAACTTGTATATTATACATAATACATTATATTAACATGCATATTATACATAATACATTATATTAACATGCATATTATACATAATACATTATATTAACATGCATATTATACATAATACATTATAGTAACATATATATTATACATAATACATTATACAAACATGTATATTAAGTTTATTTATTTCATTTTTTTAAACCATTTTATTTTAGGCTTCAGTGTTCTACCTTTGAAAGACAGCACATGATAGCTACGGAGAGTTTGTGCTAACGGTGTGTAAATACCTAACGTGGCACTAATGGGTCTCATTAATTAAAGGCTTGAGACAGTTTAGAAGTGTCTGGCTAAAGAGCAATTTGACACTTCAAAGTTAGACACATTAAACACACTTTGCACAATACAGATTCTCCCTCTGAATGACGCACTGGAAAGCGAGAACTTGTGGGCCACATGTATTAAGCATGCTTGCATACCAACTAGTCGGCGTGACGAACATCATCCCCATAACCTGACAGCTGTTGGACTGTATTTGTCCTTGAGGATTGTATGTTTAGAGATCTTGAGGTATTGTCACAGCTACTGTAAACTAACCTTCAAGGGCAGTAACTAAAGCCGATGCCTGCGACTAAGGTGTTTACTAATTTAACCATTATGGGACTGGTCGGTGACTGCTGCTGTACCTGTAACTCTAAACTCTTGTCTGCAACAGATCCAGATAAGGTTGACTGGGTCTAGTTTTTGATTGTAATCTGCAGCCATAGACTTTTTTTAAGTTTTGCTGGTATTTATGTTTTCCAGTAGATGTTTTTTGGTAGATGGTATTCTTGGGACACCGTTACACATCATCACAACAAAGTGCAAACTGTATCTTCATGTTACTTTCCTTCACATTTAATCAATTAAACAGTTGCATCTTCAGCTTGGTTCAGCTTGGGATGTAGAAATAATACTTTCTGTGTGATGATGGAGAGATATTGCTCATGCTTGAAGGACATCACTCTGTTAGATTTGGAGGGTGACGTGCACTTGGGTATAAGGTCAATATTTCTTTCCTTACAAGTATCTTTTAATACATTTTGTCAAACCAATCCTGTTCTCCTGAGTTATTATTTCTGAGACATTTTTGAACAATTACATGTAGAGATCACAGTGACTTTTACCTGAACAGTCTGCTAGGTCGTTTCATTGATTTGAAAATTGTAAGTGAATTATTAATTGCAGTCTTGTTCAAATGTTTTTGAACTGCTCTTCATATTTTCCTGAGTTAAAGTGTATTTGAAATCTCTGCGCCTCTTGTCTGGGTGCAACAGAATGAAATTATCTATAAAAAAAATGAAAGGATAAACTTGAATTAGTTTGCAAAGAGAAGTGTCTAAAGTCAAGAATTGACATTCTTAGCTGGTTGTGAAAATTAACCACCAGATTTCCAAAGTCAAGGTAAGAAAAAATACTGACCAACTTTTGCACATGCCAGTGCTTTTTGTGCTTATTTAACAAAAAGCAACAATGTTTGATTGTTTAACTTATTTCACAGGTTTTATTCACATCTTGTCATTTCAGTTTCATTTAGTTTTTTGTTTTGTCTCTCTAGAGCGTACCATGTTCTCAGCAAGCGGGTATTAGCGGTCAAGGTAAGAATTCAGGATAGTCACAGTTCTTACTTTATTATCTCAAATTTCCAGGTTAATGTCAACATTAATCTGTGTTGGGTTTAATAAAGGCTGTAACTTTGGATTAAATATCTGATTACAGGTGATTCCTTTGGATATCACAGTGGAATTACAGAAGCAAATCATGTCCGAATTAGAAATACTCTATAAGGTTAGTGTGGACTGTTTATCTTTGTTAGAGCAAGTAGTTTTTTCCTCCACTTAGTCATGGTGTACTAACACGTTCACTTTTGAGTTATAAAAGTCCAAAGACTGAGATGCCTTTTTTTTTTTTTTTATATTACTTTCTGGTATTTTAAACGAGGGATCTGTAAAAATAGACACACATACACAGTTTGCAGTTTTTTTACTCAGGAAAACTCAAAAGTTTACAAACAGCATTTTTGGAACATATTTGAAAAATGTCAGAAAAAGAAAATGCAAATTTTGGCAGTAAAAGTGAAGATACTGTGAAAGGTTTTTTGTTTTTTTTCTACCTGTTGTTTAAGCAGCTGAGTACTTTTGAAGTACAGACGTCTGCTTTGCAAGACTTATAATAGTTGTATTGTTTAACAGGTATGTTTTAATTGACTATACAGTAGTCCCTCGATTATTGCAGGGTTACGTTCCAGGCACCTCCGCAAAAAACCTCGTGAAAAACCACGAAGTAGGAACGCTATATCTATTTTAGTATCTATATTTATTTTAGGCTTTATAAACCCTTCCCACACTCTTGCAATGTTCTAAACTCTTAAACGTACATAATTATAACAACATATGTATATGTACTTTACAGTAGCTACTGCAAAATTTTATTTAGGGACTCATCAATCTTGGTCTGGTTCTGATCGGGTTCTGATCGGCTCTCTGCAGCCGTTGAGCACCAGATGCTTTTGGAGAGAGCTGGACCTTCAGACAGCCAGCACAAAACCACACAATGGTCCCGACTGTCCAAATAATCCAGAGGTATTCGATGGAAAATAAAGTTCCGGTGAGCTTCGATGAAGACACTGGACCTCCAAGTAATGCCTCCCTGCTCGAGAGGCCTCATGGGCCGGCAAGCAGCACTCAGATTGACCGATGAGGCTGGAAGTAGTCCTGGTCCAGTTCCCAGTCGGTTCTGTACAACTCTCTGCTTCCACTGAGCGTCAAAGTCACTATGAATAAGGACCAAACTTGTTGTCAGGTTCGGATTGGATCAAAACGTTCCCTCCATTTTGGCAAAAAGCACCAGCTGGAAGCACTGTTGGCTTCTGGGTAGTGTAGTTCTTGCAAGGTGTTCTGGCGCTACAGTGTAGGCTTATCGAAAGAAAACCAAAAAATGGCGGCGCCTGTCCGAAGTATTTTTTCATTAACTTTTTGTCCCATATCACCCCAGTCACGTGAAAAATATTTAAGTTGACAATTGTTGAAAAAACGCAAAAGAGCGAGTCTGCGAAAGTCGAACCCCGAAGTAGCGAGGGACTACTGTACCCACAAATATGACCCATCTGTTGTCCGAGCTCAACCCAATGTTTGGCATTTATAACGAATAAGAATATTTCTGTTCAGTGCCCTGAGATGACTTCTGTTGTGACTAATTAGTGCTATATAAATAAACTGAATTGAATCTGCTAGTTCAAGCCACACATTCTGAATGTTTGTACTTGAGATACAGTATATAAGTGGTTTTGTCCTTTATTAGAGGCTTCTTTAGTTTTTGCACAATAGAATATCAAAATACATAAATAATACGTATCTTCACACATGAGATAATTTTATTTGATTGGTTTTATCAGAAAACATCACTAGTAAGATTGTTGGCGCTACTGTAAAAAAATCAACAAGTCTACATAAAATCTAAAATTCCTCATACTCCCTGCAGACGTGTTTTATCTTCATAAAATAAGGGATGACTTAATCATTGTGCTCTTTTTAAGTAGGACCTGCTCAAAGATCCATCACAAACACAATTTCACTACATTTACTGTTTTGTTATTTTTATGTCAAAGAGGATTTTATTTGTTTTATTATTGATTATAATAAAAAAAAACTGATGTCAGGTCTACAAAACTGCCGTGCAGCTTCAGTTTTAATAAATTCTTGCACATTTTTAGACTTTCTTTATTGTTTAGTCTTTGCTTTTTATTTCCAGTGCGATTCACCCTACATCATCACTTTCTTCGGTGCCTTTTTTGTAGAGAACAGGATATCCATATGCACAGAGTTTATGGACGGTGAGTTTATTTTTCTTTGCTAGCTACAGTTGTGTGTAAAAGACTTGGGCGGACAGCCCTGTGTTTCGTTCCTGAGTATCCATTTACACTTCTGCAGATCAAGAGAATGTCTGATCGCTTTGAGCTGCTTAGCATGTCTGTGTGCTAAAAGCTACAAGGGCGTGATAAATCTGGACTGAAGTGCATTTGTAGGTGTTTTTGTACGCGTGTGTCTCCACTGGTGTGAGATCGGGGACCGTGCGTTTTTAGGTGTGTAGGCATGTTTGTCAAAGTGTGTGTTAATGCAACAATTCCCTTGTTTCACACTTTTTTCTGTATGTCAGCGAAGTCTGTATAACTTTTGAGTACTTTTACTTTATGAAACTTTACTTTCTCACTTGTCCTGAAAACAAGAAAAGTGTTCAACTAAATGAATTAACTAACTTGTGTTGCATACAGAAAAGCTAAATTTTAACAAATTGTAACGCATATCACAAAGATGTTTCTAGATAAAGTTAAATGTAACGCGATGTTGACCAGGAAGCCCTGCCTGTACATTTTCAGTACTATTTTTTTGGCTGTGACAAATGCTAGCCCTCTTAATTTAATAAAAGAAGTGATTTGTCTCATTCAGGCGGATCCTTGGACGTCTATAAAAGAATTCCAGAGCATGTGCTGGGCAGGATTGCGGTGGCCGTAAGTATAATCTTCTTGTTAATTCTTATTTACTGAAAAACATTTTAATGAACATACTCTTAGGTAAAACAAATAAGTAACACTGGCACATCTTATTATGTCCATTTACAGTTTAATGAACTTACGGTACAAGTTTTCAGACTTTCAAAACCAAACCAGAAAACAAGATTCCTTAGGTTTTTTCTATTCTATATCTTTGTCTTTTTATACTTACAATTAAAAGCAGTGTTTTGAGTGAAACAGCAATGCCGTTGATTATTGCTCTCCTCTTTTTCACACTCATTACTCTCCTCCTGTCTACAGCTTCTCTTTTTGTTTTGCTCGCCTTTAACTTTGTCCGTAATCAAACAATGACAGCTATTTAGTCAGCGCTTATTCCGTTTCACAGCTTTCCCCTTTTTCTACTGTCACAGTTGTTAATTATCGCTGAAAGAAAGCACCCAAGAGGGTGTGAGTGAAGCTGAACGTGCCAGTTGTTGCGCCTCAACCTTTTAAGGCACTTCTGTGTTTGCTTTATTCATCTCAGTGTGCTGCGTATCTGTTAGGTGACAGGAGCCTTGGAAGAAGAATCAGCTGCCACAATGTGTAAATGAAGAAATCACTACAAAGCTGTGTAATGCATTTGAAAATTTATAATAGTTAAATACTTTATTGTCTGGTTGTCTCGGCAACATGATTTATTTCCTTTGAAAGAAATTTAGCCTTAGTAC